TTAAAAGATATTAAATCATTGCTGCTCTGGAGAAATTAAACTAGCACCAAAGTAAAATGAACAAAGTTGCTCCTTAAGAACATTCACACAAATGTTCATGATAAAGAACATGATAATTGGTGTAAATTCTCTAACATTTGACTGAAGAAAGTAATTTCTTCAAGAATTTAGAGTTTGGTGATGACATACAACATAGGAAGAAGATTATTCAAACCTTTTTACTATTTTAGGACCAAAAATTGGTTCCCATTAAAAAAATATATACAATAGACAGGAAAGGAACCATGAAGTCACTACTGCATACAACCCTCCATTCTCTTTTAGTGTCTTCAATCAAGTATATCAAAGTTTCCCTTTTCTACTATAAGGCAAAACATTATATCCTGATGCAGGATAAGAAAGATAATCAGTTCAGATTATGAGCAATAAAATAAACACTGACTATGTGTCAGTGAACAGAAAGGTCATTCAGGAAGCTTTTCAACAGCTAATTAAAAGGAAGAACTTTGCCCGTTTCAAAACAAAAGCCAGTAGTAATAATAAGAATAAGAATACCACCATGAGAATGCTAATGTGAGAATTTATCATATGCAGAACTCCAGTCTAAGCCACGGCAAACTACTGTACTTGAAAGAGGGAAATGGGATGGAATTGACTCGGAAGAGGACAGCTGGACACTTGGCTCTACAGGTCTGTCAGCATGAATTTTACCACCATAGACCATTAAGTCACAGAATCACAAAACAAGCTGAATTGGAAGGGACCACAAGGATCATCAAGTCCAACTCCTGGCCCTGTGCAGGACCATCCCCAAGAGCCACACCATGTGCCTGAGAACATTGTCCAAACTCTTCTTGAGCTCTGTCAGGCTGGTGCTGTGACACTTCCCTGGGGAGCCTGTTCAGTGCCCAACCACCCCCTGGGTAAAGAACCTTTTTCTAATATCCAACCAAAACATTCCCTGACAAGTGTTATATAAGAGAGAGCTGAACTGAAATCAACAGGCTGCCTTAAGTGACACAAAGATCTACAGGTTTCATCTGAACAGCACTGAAGGCAAAACATAACTAAATAAAAATTCCAAATATAAAACCAATAGGCTCTTTGACTTCAAAATTACTTGATACAGGATATTAAGTACTGACTATGAAATACAAGGAGATTAGAACACATTGTACATGTTGACAAAAACAACTAAATTATCTCTATTACTTAGGGTGTATTGGGAGAAAGAAAAGCTTTTGTATGTTTTCTGACCATGGCTATTATTTTCTAGAAGTGCCATTTTGGTAATTTAGTTTTAGAACTATTCTACTTTCAGCTAGATTCCAGTTGCATTTAGTCAATAAAAAATCAAAACAATACTCATTTAAAAACCAAGAAATTACACCTTTAGAAATTGACAGAAAAATAGTTTTAGACTTAAGCAATTATTTTCTTTGAAAGATTATCAATATATGTGAAAATGGTTTACACAGTGGTTATCAACACAAAGCTCCTCTACAGCAAAATTCAATGGCTACTCCAAAGAAAATCTCCAGTATTTTATTATTACCTCATTTTTTGCTTGTTTTTTTCAAAGTTTTCTAAATTCTGAAGAACGTGTCTTTCTGGCCACTCCAATGGATTTGGCTCCATTAAATCAGGCTCTGCAAAAAGTACATATTGGATAACCCTAAATAAAGAATCTTATTCCTTAAAGAAACAGATATACAGTCCATTATATTAGATATTCCTCAATTCATATCTCTGAAAGTATGTAAAAATCTACCTTATTATGCAATCAGAAATGTTTTCTGGAAAAATTTTTGTCAAGAAAGAAAAAGGAAATAGGCATTGCAAGGGTAATTTCAGCCTGCAAAATAAGTCTAGAAAGCTACTTTACTTTTCCTTCCATGTTTTCCTCTTTTGGTAAAAATACTTTATTCTTTTTAGCAAAATACTGACAACCAAAAAAATATTAAAAAACATCCAAAGAAAATAAACAGCGTATTTTGTAAATAAAAATACTTACCACAAGTCATAGTGCATGATCTGGTTTTATTGCAGACTTTCTGTAGAACGGGTTTAGGAAGACTAGTGCTGTACAGGGCCAAAAAACATTCTCTTGTAAGTTTTAATAAGCTTCTAAACTCATTGGTAGAAATAACTGCAGGCTTCTTGGTCAATTCCTTTCTGTCTATACAAGAAAAAATAAAACATATTGCATCTGCAAGTAACAACAACAGGAGCCTGCTAAAAAACAATTAAACAAGAAAATCCCCACCCAAACACAGTAAGACAAGCAAGTTAACTTGACACTTACTATTGTATCAGTAAGACATGGGTGGTTGATTCCAAAGAAAAGTGAAAAAAATAGCAGTTAGAACAGCTGAAGTGACACATGACTCATGTTTTTACAGTCCTTTAACTTCTGGGTTTATGCATTTCTGAGTACATCCAGGTTTGAATCCCCCAGAGACAAACACCTGGACTTGCTGAGACTAAAGCAAAGGGCTCCAGCCTGCAGAGCCTCCCACCCACCTGTTTCCACTGCTGTTGCAGGAGTGTGGCTGCACTGTAACTGAAAGCCTGTTCTGGGCTCTTCGATCAGAATATCAAAGGTCAGGTAATTCTCCTATGATTTAGGTCCCCCAACTGAGTCCTTTAATGGAAATGGGTGACCCACTCAAAAGAAACTAAAACACAAGCTCTAAAGCTGGCCAAGCAGGCCCAGCCTCAGGGCTGAGCCAGACAGGAATCTGAAAATAACTGAGTCAGCAGGGGGTGTGGGGTGGGAGACAAGGCTACTTACAGAAATCTTATTTTCTTTAAGCTACTATTCTGGTAATGAGAATACAGCTAAATTATCCCCACAGCATGCCATTTTCAATAAGCCAGCCAAACTCTCTGAAGCATTTTTTCTTTTAATTGAGTCTCTTTATGCAATGGATTGAAGATGGAAAAAAAAACGGGACACTCAAATGTACTTCTCTGCAAAGCCATAAAAATCTAAGGAAGGATGATCTTTTAAGTTATCATTATGAACGATGCATCATGATAAATCTAACAAATCTACAATCCATGGTGTTCCTCTGCTGCTTAAAACTTTTCAAATAAAGAATAAAAATTTAAAAAGCTGAAAAATCCAAACAAGAATTCTTATTTTTGTAGAAAGCATATCCAGCAGTAAATAATTTTGGGGAAATCATCACAGAATTGCACAGAATTATTTCAAAGCTATGCTCAAAAATTCTCTGTAGCAACCACCAACACTAGTTCTTCCATTATCTGTCAGATAACTTCCATTATCTGACAGATAATCATGGATGTACTTCAAAGTTTAAAAATAAACTTCTGCTATTTCTTCACAAAGTGATTAACACACTTGGGTTGTCAAACAACTTCAGTTTTTGAGGTGAGCCATCCCATCCAACCTGAAATAAAGACCTTTTAAATACTAGTTTGAGAATGACCCCCATTACTTACTGAGATACTCCTTCAAGGCAAACACTTGGAGACGAGACAGTTTTGTTTCTCTCTGTACAATCTCCTCTCCACAATAGCATGGCAGAGACTTGATAAAGTCAGAAATATGAAAGTCTGTCCAAATTAGGAGAAATCTTTATTACAAATCTCTTTTTGGAGTCATCACTTAATAAAAGATATAAATATAGGAAACATAAAAATCTCATATTCAAAGGAAATGACCAGACTTTCAAATATGGCTAATCATCGAAAAACCACACAAATACATTCCAGTTGAAGAGATGCCTGACTAGTATTTTTGAATTTCTGTACAAAACCAGTATAATGATAACACAATTAACATGACTAACACTTAAAGAAGATAAAAAGATCCTAAGTTTGATACCAGGAAAGAAAAGTTTTCTCCCAGCATATGGTCAAGGACTTTCAGTCTTCTGATGCTGTACTAATGGGATTTTAATTAGGATAAATGGCAGAGTAGTCAGTCATATCGCATACAGATTTATTTCAATAATAAGGAATTAAGTGGATAAGATGCAGGTCACTGTGCTCCTTTCCTTTGCCAGTGTTATTGAAACAAATACAGGAATTAGTAGAGTTATCTGGTAGGTGTAGCTGTAACATGACAACTACTCCATGATAAATGGCTGCACACCTGCTCCTGCCTAGTGGAGCAGTTAGGATAGGAGTGCCAGCTCATACCCTAAAGACTGCAGTAACATGGACATCAGCAAAAGAACTGAAGGTAATAACAAAACTCAACTTGTCCACTGGCCTTGAAGTTTTTATTTTAAATCATCTGTGAAACAGGATTTTCAAAAGATATTTACCTAGGTTTTTGGCATGGGCTGGTCAGTCTTTACACCAACAATACACACTTTCTAAACTTTAAGCTTTCACAAATTTGTTTTGCATTATTTTTATCTGTATGTCCCTTTACAATAAACAATTTTCAACTAATCTCAATTATGAGAAATGACTGACAATAACTTTGCATAATCAATTTTAAAAATATAGTAGCAGTAAATTCTGTGAATAAATAAGCTCTTATTATATTTTCTTACAGATCTGGAAAAATATTGTTAGAAGATGTAATATTCCTCCCGGGTTTCTCCCTTTTAATAGTGCCTGGAGTGAATAAAACGAACTTAAGAAATTTAGTAGCATTTGCCAGCATTCAGATACTCATTAATAAATAATTGATTACTCTTACCTGACTCTGTTTCTTCTGCTTTTGCCTTTAGCTTTCCATTTACTGCAGCAAGAGTGGCCATCCCATTGATCTGGCCAGCTGAATGAATCAAGGTTGCTTTACATCCTCCAGAGCTGTTGCCTTGTAGCAAGAAATAGTATCGGCAAGATTCTCCTTTCAGTTCAATTTCTGGAACTTAACAAATATCAGGACATAACTGTGAAACACCCTCAGGAAAACATCTTTAAAACAAACTAAAATCCACCATCAAAATTCTTTCGTTTGCTTTCCTCTGTTCTGTGAGAAATCTTGCTAACCAGCAGCCAAGAGAAGTTCTGTAATTGGGCTAAGTAACGGGCAAACCTTTAACTGGCAAAGTTACATTTTTACTATGAAACAATTAAGAGAAGTTTCTGTTCTGCTAGGTAAAAACAGGCCTTTTTATATATGTGCATTGAAATAATGTAAATGTTCAGTGGATGAACATACAACTGTAGAAGAAAAGGAAATCTTGTACACACTCTTCCCAAGGACACTGCATTATTCATTAATAAAAGCTTCACTCCCTGCTTTACCCTTGTGCCTGGATGAAAGATAAAGACAATCTATTTTTAAACACTGGCATAAAGTATGCAGTTTTCAAAGTAAATTAATGTGGGACCTGACAGTAACAGTGAAAGGATGGGTTTGCTATCTTTTCACACAGAAAAATTTTATAGCGCCTTGGTAGATATAGTAATCAAGACAATGAATATCTCTTGATGTAGTAAATTTCAAAAGTAAAATATTTTAATCTCATAAGGTATTTGCAGTACTGACTCAAGAATTAACTCTATGGGAATTGAGTATTAATTAGTATCATAAATTTTTGTAAGCAACAAATAATATATTCCTGTGTTTGTTGAAAATGTATAGTTGGACACAGAAGGGAAAAGACTACCTCAACACAAATTCAGAGAAAGGAAAAAGAACAATAAAGATTCCAGAAATGTTGTCATATTTTCCTATTTTCCATGTCATTTGAAATATATTTCTTCTCCAGTTTATCTTGACATCTCAAAGATGACTCCTGATGGGTAAGCTTTTATGTCGCATTTTAATCTTAGCATTTAAGAACTACCAATACCAAGAATTATACTTTCCCACAGATGGAAGAGATTAAGGATTCACAAATCCTTAGTACAGTCAGATTAGTGGTAGCTACTAAAAAAATCAACAGTTTTCAACCAAACAAGAAAATACATTCAGAAAGTCGTGCTTCTTCTCCTATAGTAAATATTACTCAAGAAGCTTAATAAGAACTTGTGTATTACTGATCACACAATAGTTAATACTTGTACAAAACCCTTCCACTGGAGCACAGGACAAATATCCTGCAGACACTGGGGATCTTGTGCTCATTTGACTGAATCACTACTATCTCTCCAATAAATACAAATGCTGCTGCTGTGACCAGCTCTATACCGTCTGTACTCAACCACTTTCAAACATGCAGAAAACTTTAAGTCTATATACTGCTGATGCCATTTGGCTTTTGCCTGTTTTCTTTTTTATGTTCTCTATATTCTTCACACATATGCTTTAACTCTGTCACATATTGTATCAATAGCTGATTTCCCCAGTACTTTTCCATGGCCTTTCCCTAAGCAGAAAGACAAAACAAATTCCAGCACTCCAAGCCCTGGGAAGTACAAGACCCCAGTGCTATCTTGGTTCTTCCTGAGAACCAAGGCCGAGAACAACTCTTCAAGATACATTCTCATGGTCAAAGTACAACTGGTGCTGAAGCGGGGGCTCCAGAGAAGGGGCTTGGCCTGGGGGGGAATTGTCTCTAATTGGTGCTTTTTATCAATTATGGTAATTTCATAAAATCTATAAATGTACTCACCCCTGGGGGGGGTAGGCTTTTGTGGACATCTTTCCATAACTGCCTCTGAAGCCTTCAATAAAGATCCCCTTTTTTATTACCTCCCTGCTAAAATTATTTCATTTCCAGATTGGGAAAAAGGCAACACTGCCAGCACCCATTCCATAATTAAGTTTCTTGTCCTGTTATACAAATCTTCCTAATTCCTCTCAATTTTTTCCTGTCTCTAAACCTGAAAAGATATTAGTCACCAGTATGAGCCATCTTCATCTGCATACTTGTTTAAAAAATTGTCTTGAGTTGGCAACAGAAATAGTCACTGTTCCTTGGAATCTATGTTAATTATGTATTAGACCATGTATAAATGAGATTATTTAAGAAGACAGAATCCAGCACTTCATCGTGTCTTAGATAAGTACTTCAAGCACTGGGTTACCATCAAGTTCCTTCTAGCCTGATGTTTTCAAGTGCCTACAAACCTCACAGTCACTGCTTGTACAATGCCTCCACTTGCAGGACACATTCACTGGCTGACTGAGAAATCTGCCCCAGCCTTGCTCTGCACTGATTCCCTTCTCCCACTTTCTGAATCAGATTTATAAGCACAGGGTATGAGAGTCAGCTGCCATCAGGACAGCCCTACAGGGAGCAGGTTCTCAATCACAAGTTTAGCACACTGGCTCCCAGGTGTATGGAGGCATTCAGTATTTCTTAATAGTCTATATTTTCCCAGGAAGAGATTGACATTAAATGCAAGTGCACTGAAGAACCTCTGGAAATGCTTAACGAAAAGGGAAGCACCTCAGTGAAGCAGACTGGAATTCCACCTGCAGAAGTAAACCTCTGTGCCATGGATTTTACAATAACCTCAGAAAAATGTGTGGAAACTGGACCTTAACTGACGGATAGGACACAAAAATGGTTTAAAGGAGACACCGTGCTTTCCCAAAGTGTGCCTTGATGTTACCATTTTTCTTCCAGAATTTTGCATAGCTGAACTTTCATTCACTAAATCTTCTCATGTCAACGAAGATTTTACGATCACTGACTTCATTTCATTGAAGTTAAAAAGATAACCCCAAACATACAGAAAAAGTTCACCATATGTATATACACACACACACACACATCCATATAACCACAACAAAATACACATACCAGAAATGACCTTGGGTTTCTTAGCCATATATTCCTTCCATTTCTTGCTGCTCAGCTGGGCAGGAGATGGGATCACTACACTGCTTACATTACATGGCAATGTAAATAAAGCTCCCACCTAAAGCGAGAAAATATAAGACATGCAATTAGTGAAATCTGTTTTACATTTCATTCTTGAGCTACTGATTTGGCATTATTTCAAATCTACTTGAAATGAAGAAAAACATCTCAACATATCAGTCATTCACATCAATCAAAATGGAACTGCATTTGAGATAAAAGCTGTAAAAACTGTGTTTACTTTTTGGTCCAATTGAGATATCATTAACTTCTGAATTTCCATTTCATACGTAAAAAAGTTATTTATTATGTATTGCAAGTGTCTCCATAACCCGGAGACACTTCCAAAATCCAAACATTTTTGTAGAGCAGTATCCAGAGTGAAAAGAGAATTCAAAGGTATAGTTGGCATCAGTGACTCTGCCTTCCTATGAAAAAGATTTCTTTTTTTTTTCCTTCCTACATATTACCCTTGTCCCTCAACCAGATACTGGACTATGTTTATGTTTCTATGTAGACTTCAGACCAATAAGCACTAGCAGAAAAACTGCAGACATATTTGAACACTCAAGCAATAAAGCAATGCTATTACAGGTACGAGAAAAGCCTACAAACATGCAATATTTTGAGTAGCAGACTGAAAAAAATCCCCATGAGAAATTGTTATTTTCAAAATATATTCAACTCAACATGTACAGAATCTAAAAAGTAACCTGAGAATGTGTTTTTGCTGTTTGGGTGTCTTCTTTAAAAAAAAAAAATAGTAGAAATGTGAGCCCTTCGATTGTAAAAAGGGTATGACCAAGTGTTCAGTATTCTTCAGTAAAATGAAGATTACCTGGGATATTTACCAATATAAAACCATTTTAAAAGATACTTTTGGTACAGCATTAGAAAAAGGACCTTTTGCTTTTGTGGCTAAGCTAATGGAGAATGGAGCAGCAGGGGAGAAAAAGAGTTACTAAAAACCTAAATAATAAACTGAAAATGAAACATACAGCCTGATAATGGGATACCATCTCCACAGTAAACAAAAAACGTGTTATTCATAATAACTGTACGACCATTTTTAAAGTGCAGGTTTTGTTTTGAATGACATAGATTTATTTTATAAACACTAAAAAACTTTCCTAAACAGGATGTATTAACTTGTATGTAAAGGTGATAGAATGTTCAGGAAAAACATCTTCAAATTAATACTGTGGCTATATGATAATGTCACTATCATTCTAAGGCAGAGGAGGGAGGGAGAAAGCAGGACTGTAAAGGTTTCATGAACTCTTTTTATCCAAAATCAGAATATGCCCATATAAAATAAAAAAAAACTTTCCATTTCACAGTAGCTAGATACATTTTGTAGGCTACACACATGCCCACCTTTTGCTAAAAAAATCAATAGCTCAATTATGATAGTACAGAAATTATCTGTCAGGATAGGATTAAAAATTAGAAAATCTTTTACAAGATTGAAACTCAGCAGCAATAAAGAGAAAACTTTTCAGTGGGTATGTATAGCATGGACCCTTGAAATCCATGTTTGCTTTAGAATTAAATATTGAAGAAGCTTAGAGACTAGATTTTAAAATATTATTCCTGTATCTTTTATAGGCAACATAAATACCTTCATTTTCCTGCTATACAGAAATAAAAAGTTTTTACCTTCCCAGAGAGAAAAGAAATCTGGTCCAGAAGCAGTGTAGATGTCTCCTCGGTATTCTTTCTTGACAGACTCCTGAACAGAACAGTTTAAGGAATCTCATCTTCACAAAGAACTATGCACCTCTATTCTACAAATCAGGTTACCATCATATCTGAAAGAAGCACTGCAAGCATCTAGTTTTTGATACTACAGTACCACAAAACATAAAAAACTCACCTTTCCTGGTAAAGTGAACACACTTGAAAATGTTATATGACAAAATACTCCACTGACATCTGTACTACAGGCTGACAGAAACGGATATTCATATATTCAAAATCACAGCATCCAATATTATATATCCTAAGGTATTACTGGTGCTCCAAGACTAATACCAAAAACACATACTTTTAAAAACCAATAGTAATATATCTCGAGATCTCTGCAGCACACACTGCAGAGAGAACTCCTCTGCTAAACCTTGCCACAGATTTTGCCACTGTACAATAAAAATATGGTTTGCAGACAAATGTTCCTAAATTGTGAAGTATGCTTCATTCTTTCATAAGAAGGCCTTGAGGCTTTTTTTAAACTTGCACAGAATACACATTTTTCTCTTGTTTTCCCACAAACAGCATGTACATCAACAGATGAATTATATGTGCAATAATATCAACAACACATGGTTATTTAAATGTCAAAACTAAAAAATCCAGTTGTGAAAAATCACTGTGACTATTTTGGCAGGCTAGAAAGGAATGAACCCTTGCCTATCTTCATCTGTCTGTTACTTGCATGGGTGGATGCTGATCTTTTTCTTTCTGGTATAGACAATTATCAGTAGTAGTTTAGATCCTTAAAAAAAGGATACAGCTCAAACTCCAGATCTGATATAAAAATGGAAGGTAGATCAGAAAGAACCACCATCTGTAAAAATTCCAGCGTAGGACCATAGTAATGAAAAACCTGAAAAGAGATCAAATTAAAACCTATATATAACACTATGTTATATATATGATGTTACGTCAGCTGAAGTTCCTCAAGTGTTTTGCTGGAGGCATTAGCCTTGCAGATAACATCTGAAACAGGAATAAAGGAATGCAAAAACATTTCACAACATCATACTAAATTATATTAAAAAAAGGAAGGTATTTAATTTTTGATAATAAATCTGACTTTGTAGAATGTCAACAATGTGCATTAAATGAGTTCTAATTGTTACCCAAAATAAAATATGATCTACCAGGAACAGACAAATGCAATACAAAATGTCCATGTTTTAACAATGAAAACAACAAACTCCAAACTGATACCAATTTTCATAATTCTCATTTTTGTGTTCATCAACACATATGATTCTGGAGTTCCCATCAATTATCTACTTCCAGGAGAAAATATGAAACAGCAAGAGTGTAAAAAAAAACCAAACCCAAACCTTTAAAATTAAGTGGGAAGGGTTAGATAAATACAGAATTCATAATTTAACTATTTTGAGTATTAAACTGAACAAAGTCTCAATTTCTACTAAAAAAAAATCTGGTATTGTATCCCTAAGAACAAACAGATGGAGTCTTAAGGACCTGTTTTGACAATACAGATATACAAAAGAAGCATTCCTCAATATCCTTTATCCAATCATTACTTCTATACTTAACTTTCAGTTCTGACTAAGAATTCCCCAATTATTAATTTTCTCTGGAAAGTAAAACAGACAAATTCTAAAATTCAAAGAAAACATCAAGAATAATACTTGCTTCTGGCAAAGTATCAGTGTTCCTCAATTGCCACTCTTTCTTAGCAGCAAAGCAAGAATTTAATTTTGCAGTCCTGAATGTCTTGGCTGAAGTGCTCTTAATACAAAATTCTGGAAAATCTACTCCTGATCCGAACTGAAAAAAAAAAAAGATGACAATAAATGTATCAAAAAGAGATAAAAATTATTTCTCTTCAGCCAGTTAGATGTGTTATTATTTTTAACAATTAGTATTATTTTTTCTTAGAACTGTAAAATTAAGAAAAAATACTAGACTTAGATAACCAACTAGGAAATCTAAAACAGTAATGCTGAAAATGTACACAATGTCACAAAGCTCTCAGGTTTGCAGAAACATTAGACATATGCTTGCAACAATGACTTATACTTACATGACAATGATTTGTGATAGATATAAAATTATCTAATTTTGAACAGTAAGTTTTAACAAAAATATTTCAGAGGGGTGCATCTGGATTTCTGAGGTTCAGATCTTGATGCATCGGTCTCATTTATCATTTCATCCTGTCACCCACCCAGACATGTTGCACATTACCTTTGAATTACATGATTGAAACCAAATTTGGATTAAGGCATAAAATGCACCGCACAATAAATGCTTTAAATGAGGTACACAGATGCTTTTAAAAATAACCACCACAATAATAAACTAAAACCTATTTTACCTTTCTTTCCCAGATCTGAATCTTTCCTCTCCAGAGTTCATTTAAATCAATAATATTCATGATATCATCTGAAGATACGAAGTCTGCTGACAGATAGTCTGCAATCTTTTGCCAGCTACTGTAAGAATATCGAAGAATTAATCTTACTGAATTTAGGACTACAAATAAACATGCAGTGCAGTTTTACAGAATTTACCTATGCACTGAAAAATCTTGTCTTAGCACTGAACAATCTTGTCTATGTCAAAAGAGACAGTAAAGCTTTACAAAAGCTTTATATTTCACAAAGTCAAAAATATTACAGAATTGCTCGTTCAGGCTCAGTAAAGGAAGTTGTTCATATGCTCCAAGAAAGCGACAGCAAAGAACTTTGACATCAAATAAGACTGACAGTGGCAAGCTGCAAGCACAACACAGTAATGCTGGGTGCTAGAAGCTGCAGCAAAGCCTGGCAGCCGTCAGTGGGGCCATCACTGGTCTGTCCAGATGGTTTGTAGTTAACCTTCTAAATGGAGATATGACTGCAGCACAAGCATTATCCAAATTCTACGAGAGAACAGCCAGTATCTGTGGGTTCTGCTGGCAGTCTGTCCTCTAAGCAAAATCAGCACCATCAACAGAACAGGAAGAATAAGTGAAATCACTTTCATCAGAGATCTTCTACACCCAAATAATCTCACTTCACATAAAAGGCAACAGAAAAATGTATTCAGTCAAAAGCTGCCTCCACAGGCTGATATTAATGAGCACTGAGATCAAATATCTGTGGAAGTCACTGAGTAACTTTCTTGTCTTCCACATACCTCAGGAAACACTGCACAGTAAGGTATATTGCTTATTCTATCAAGGACTGAACATTCACCTTTTTGAACAGTTTTATTAATTTAGGATTAAGCTTAACCACATATGAAGCAAATTTCAATCTTTTGGGCATGGAGGGGAAGGAAAGCAGAGACCTTGCCAAGTTGCTCAGTATCCACACAATCATTCACTTTGTGGGATAAAAACCCCAAATCACTGTGGTTTAAAGGGCAAGATATCACGGCCTTTATATGTCAATTAGAGGAGGACAGTAAGTAAATTACTTGACTTAATTTCAACTTGAATTAATAGTCTCAGTAATTCTTCATACTATCAGAATCTTGCAAAACATACAGGAAGTAATAGAGAGTTTATACTCCTTTTTCAAAAGGGAAAAATGAAGCTCTCTACTTTTCCTCCCTGAAATGTAATACCAAAGGTAATATAAAATCTAAAGTAAAACCAGCAGTAGAATGGTTTCATTTAAAAAAATCTGGAAAACTACAATAAATATATAAGTTATCCCATGGCATAACACAACATGAAAACATTGTAGGCACACTGAGCCCATGGAAAGGGAAGAGAAAATATTTTATTCTTTGCTCCCACAGAAAACAAGAAGTGCAGAGGACTGGCTCTTTTGCCTGCTTCTCTGGTTAGGACATGCATCTACAATAAATTAGCATGAGTAATTCCTCCCCTCATACAATATTAGACAATTTATGTATTTTCAAAGTATACCTGTAAAGTACTCAACATGCTGTTTTTATTTCAACTCACTGACCTATGCTAACACAAAACAGAAGTGACCTTGTTTTAGATCTGAAATAAATGTCATACCCTTTAGCATCACTTGCTGCAATAGTGATCTGTGCAGAGTGCCACTCTCGCAGGTGTTTCAGGGCACCAACAGCAGGTAAGCAGTCCTTTAACTTGGGTCCATCACATTCAACAGCCTGCAGGATTACATCAACCATTGCTCTGCCTATAAAACAGTTGTGTATGACTCAAAGGATCATGATGCAGTAAATTATTCAGTCATTTAAAGATAGATTAGTATTGGTTATCATTGACTGCTCTAAAACCAGCAAAAAGATCAAGTAACTTCAAGATTTAAAAAACTTTTCACATATTTTAGCTAATCTCCTGCTGCTCCTCTTAGATGAACACAAAGTATTTCATTGAGTGATAGATGAGATTTGTCTCCCATACATCTAAGCTAAGTAATTTTCCTACTTTTAACACTCTAAATTGCTATTCTTCATTCTTCTTGAGTTCCTTTGTTATCCCAAATCAACTTCTGCAACATTATATAACCCTAACATGCAAGGTGATATGTATCTCCAGTTTACAAAATCCCAATCCAACTGTTCTGATGTACTTCTCATCCTCTTGTCTCCCACCCACAAGTAAGCAGCAGTCAAATCAGATGTCAAATCAACATCTTCCTTTTTTTATAAGAAATTTCCTGTGTTGAGTTTTGCATTGCTATGATTATTTTGGTGCCATTTCAGATGGATAAATTTATTATATAAATAACTATTTTAAACTCTACTGAACTATAGCCTGCCAAAGAACCAAACAAGCAGCAAACTAGTCTTCAAGCTTATCTTCAATGCCAACCATGCTCAAGTTCCTAAACTACCTTCAAGAGCCACATTAAGTTAATTCAGCTACCAAAATAACATTGTCTGAACTTTTCCATTCACTATGCTTTTACCAGGTGAGTTTTTATATCAGTAACTAACAATATAAAATCCAATTAGATTAATTTTTAAAGACAGATTACCTGGGGCAGGCAGTTTATCAGCTAATTGATGCAGACTTTCAGCAGCTTCATCATAGATACTAAAAATGAGGAACAACATGTTTGGAACCAGAATATAAACAAAATCATTTAGAAACAAAATGTTTCTAAACAAAAATGTCAACTAATGAATGGTACCTGATGTAAGATCTTACATCTTTAAAAATGCACAAACATACCTAGGCTATGAGAAATCATCTCCTTTTACTAAGACAGAAGTAGGCCTAATGACATTGAAATAATCTGCAGTAAAACCGGAAGAAAATTCAAGAGGAATTAGCAAGAAATTTTTGTATATGTGATGTTGGCTGTTAGGAAACTGCTCAGTAAAAATCATCTGTAAAAAAATTAAATCTATGCTAAACAAAAGAAAAGTATTTTCAGTACTAGTAGGGGGATTGTTCATAGTTAACTCTTGCTTTGGTAGTAACTTGCACTTGTTAAGCTTTCTTGATCCCCTTGGGTCATCACTGTTAGATATCAGATCATGCTCTTTAAGTAAAAATAATAATACACATACTCAGTCAGAGACAGTGATTCTTGACTGTTACTGTCATCTTCCTCAAAATTTTGTGTGGTTCGCAGGTTCTCATCAATACTTTCTTGGTGAGAGTCTTCATTTTTCTGTGTGCCAACATTTATTTCCTCCCAGTCAGAACTGCAGAACTAATCAAACACAAAGACTTAAATAAGCAAAAAGACTTTTGAACACCTCAGTTTTAGCCTGTTGAACAGTCAGGCAGATGGCTGAGGAACTTATACTCTAAAAAAGTTTGTTTTACCTGATAATAACCACAAATGACCTGACTTGCAAAATACCATTTCTTTGCACCTGGAATACCAGCCACTGAGCATGCTGCAAAGAGATTAAAAAAAAAGATAAGATTTAAATTAATCAGTTCACTACAATCTATTCTTCCTATTTTAATGAACATATCTGTTAAAAGACTCTGTAAGTCATTTAATGTACAACAATTACTTGAATTCTACTTTCCTTTGGCATCATAATTAAGTTCTGAACATACTAAAGTGTAGGTAAGTGTCTGGGCAAGTGTCTAGTACTGACGCTCTGACTGTTTATAAGTAAAAAAACCTTTGACCTCTTCTCTGTTCTGGGTAATATTGCTTTCTCTTTGCATGATCTGTATCAGACCTGAACTAAATAACACCTTTCATAAATATGATTTAGAGTTCACAAAATGAACATCATCTATCAACATTTCTATGCAATAAAAAGCATAGAAGTTGCAAACAGCTTAACATTCCCATCTCTGTGAATTTTAAGAGCTTATAATGGTTTTCCCAAATGAATACTAATCATATTATATATACATTAATTTTAATATATTATTATAATTATACACTATATACAATTATTAATTATAATATTATCTGTGACAAGATGAGCTTATAACAGTATATATCCAAGTCAACTAAAGAACTAAGAAAGCATTTTTTTATTAAAAAAACCCAAAACAACAAAACACAAACACACAGCTCCTAAAAGTACTAAAGTAGATCTTAAGAAATCTATTTTAAGGTGAAAAAATTATTTCATATTCATCAATTAAGGTTCTGAATTGTTACCAAATAGACAAGCATTGCTTCCACTGGAAAAATTAGAAGGTATTATAGGAGTAATTAAAATATCACGCTTCCCACTGACTTGAGAAACAAGCCCTTTCCTACTTTTCCTTGCTCAACTGAACTGGAATTTCAAAACCATTCCCTTTCATTTCTTTCAACCAATCAATCTAATAATCTCCTAACACCTTAGCTGCTGAAATGATGCGAGTTCTCCACAGAAACAGGAGCAGCAGGAACAGGCCCACGCCACGCAATTTGATTTACTTACATTTCTGTTTCCACTAACAGAGCATGCAGAGGTCAATGCCTTGATACCATCTGCCCTACCTCACCGTGCATTGCAATATTTACCTGGGAATGTGCTCACATCTGTGTTTATAGATGCATTACAACTTTCTTTCAGAAACTGATATATGTCAGCAGCAGTCCCAGCTAGGAAAAAAATAAAAAAAAAAAATCTTAAAACTACTGAATTATGAAAGTTAAGTCTTACTTTCTTACAAATACAGTATAAAGTTCAGAGTGATATTAGAAAGTGAATTTAGGGGAGAAGGGGGAAAGGGATTGGTTGGGGTTTTAAAGAGAACGATCACCTGCAGATTTGCAGTTTAAAAAGGCAAATTTTTCTAAATTCTCATTTAAATCATGCTCAGGAACGTATTACAGAGTTACACCGCATAATGGCAACTAAGCAGGAACCCCCCGGAAGTTTCTGCAGGTTAAAGGCACCAAAGACTTTCAGCCTGAAAGCAAAGGGGTGTTTAGGGAGGCAGGAGCCCGGAGAGCCCCGCGGACACCGGAGCAGCCGCAGCCCCGTCCCCCGCCCAGCGCCCGCGGGGCCCCGCGGCCCCAGCGCCGTCCCCCGCGGTACCTGCGGCGGTCGCTGCCGCGGGCCCGCCCTCGGCCCGGCGCTCGCCCCAGCTCAGGAGCAGCACGTAGCGGTCCATGGCCGGCCGGGCCCGCGGCCGCCGCCGCTCCGAAGGTCCCGCGCTGTCGCCCGGGCCCCGCCCTTGCCAGGGCAGCGCTTCCGCTTCCCGCGGCCCCGGCGCGGCGCTCCCTGCGCGGCCGGCGGATGGCGAGCTACAGCAGGGCGGCCCAGGTGAGCTCGGCCTTCCCCGCGGAACTCCTCGGCCTCGCTGCCTCTGGACTGGGCCCCGGGGCCGCGGGCGGGTACGGAGGCTCCCCAGGCCCCCAGGGGAGCGCCCCGGGGCTGTCCCCGGTGTCCGCCCTGAGGGTGCCGGTGGCAGGAACTGCTGTGTGCGACGCGTCTGGGCTACAGGGACTCTCGCGGCTCGGGCTGAATGCTCCGTGTGGGGGAGCTGTGCCCTTAGCCGGGAGGGAAGGGGACCTTTGGCATTAAGTATTTCGCAGCGATGTTACGTTAGATACCTTGTAGCGAAAATGGAAGCTTGCAGCAGGAGATCTGCATTTTTGAAGCAAAGCCCTCAGGGCCGGTAACCGATCAGTGGTGTTACACGAGTACATCGCGCTGCAGTGGGTGTATCGCAGTGCTCCGTCCATTTAAAGGTTATTTGAAGGGGATGGTGCTGCATATCAATATTTCGTTCCGTATTTTTGGTTGTAAAAGAGGTGTTGATTTAATTGATGAGGAAGATAGATTACGGTAGTGTGAGCTTTTCCTATAAGAAATACTGAACCTCTTTCTTTTCAGCAATGGGCTACTTTTGCCAGAGCCTGGTACCTCCTCGATGCGAAGATGCAGCCCCCAGGAAAAATAGCAGCTGCCACTGTAATCAGACTCGAAGGCAGACATAAACCTATTTATCATGCACTAAGTGAGTATTGCAGTGGATGAAAGCAAATTTGCTTTTCTTCACATTCATGTTTCTTCCAATTTCAGTTTTAAAATCAAGCCTGATATAAAAGATTACATTTCTCAATTGTTTATAAATAATAAATTAATTGAGCTTTTTTCTCATCTTTTTCCATCATACCACTCCACTACCAAATGTTTTTTCTTTATCAATACACATAAAGGATGTTACGAATTTGTAATTCATTTTGAGTAACTGAATTACAGTGGGTTGTTCATTCATATTTTTTAAAACCTCAGAATATGTTCTGTAGATTTTAAATGTAAAGATTTAGTTCACAGTGCACATAAAGAAACATCCGAGTGCTTCCTTCCAGTAGATGCCCAGGACCACATTCTTGGAGTGCTTCATTCTGAATAAGGTGCAAAGAAGTCCTGTTTTCATGAGGCAGAGGGCACAAACTGAAAGACAGGATACTCTGAACATCAGATAAGATGTTTTGTACCATAAGAGTAGTGGGAAATCGTTGCCCAAGAGGTTGCAAAGTCTCCATCTGTGGAGATTTTCAGAAGCTGGTCCTGCTTTGAGCACAGGCTTTAGAGGACATGACCTTCAAAGGCCCCTTCCTGCCTCAACATTCTGTGATGAGGAGGCTGGGACCTGTCTGATACTTAAATGAGTGACAATCGTTGAAAGGTACCTTGTTTAAATAAAACAATCCTTTTGTTTTTCTGCAAATTAGAGATTCATCTATAAAGATGCATCTGTAATCCTGTTCATTACTTGTAACTCTGTAGTGCCTGTCTCATGGGGATAAGCATTTTATAAATAATAAAAAGTTGATCTTACGCACCACTGGTACAGTGTTCCCTGTAATACCAATGCAAATTTTTCCAGACACATTACTGAAACATAAAAGAAGCCTTGAAGTTGGCTCATGCATGCTGAAGTGTATGTTATAAAATTATACTGGATCTACTTCACAATAGCAGGCTGGATTTATAGTGCTGTAAAGATTTTTAAATGTCTATAGAGTTCTGCTGTTGCAAATTTTGTTGTATCCACAAGATGTCACTGCAGACTGAAGGCTGTCTTGAGAAATAAAGCAGATGCTGAGAAGAAAATATTTTGGTTACCCTGTGCAAAAGAACTTTGATACTTTTATGTCTGTGGAGTTATAAAGTCTTGGAAAGTATTTCAATGATAACTTTATTTTGTTTAAAATATTCTGTAAATCAGTACTTGGAGTAATAACTCCTTGGACAGAGTAACATAAGGGAGATTTTTTTTGTTTTGTTTTTAATTTGGTATTAATATTTGTTAATTCAGTGTTCTTGCAAGTGGAAAATTGTAGGCAGAAATTTCCTTAGATGAGCTTATTGTGTCATCTTACCAACCAAAACACCAAAAAGTCACAAAGTACAGTGTCGGTTTCCTGAAATTTATGAAGACATACAGTGTTTTTGGAACTGATCTGTCGGCAGTGAAAGGGTGCAGCAACAAAGATGTGTAAATTGCATTTGCACTTCAGGTGTAATTGAAAGTGGAGCATTAAAAGAATAAAAGATTAAAAAATAATAAAAAACTTAAGGTGTGAAACATGCTTTGATTAATTATATGCTCCTATAAAAAGTCCATGGTCAGTTCAAGACCTGCTTTGTATAGCTGCTTTGTTACCTACTCTAAAGTGTTTTAATCAAGTGAGCCTCTTCAAATACTTGTGTTCTAACATGGTGATACAAATGGGACTGAACTATGGACAAATCATTTTCACTTTAGTTGAGTGGGTGGCTACAGCTTATCAAGATCATTACTTCTGATATTAAAAATGACATCTTTTCTCCTATTTATGTGATATTTTTGAGATAATAGAAGTTTTGTTAGTACTTTATTACTACAGAAGCCAAATTGCAAACTCTTTCTGGCAGGGTGTTGATGTTAGATTATAAACCCTGCACTTGAAGAACTTTGGATGTTAAAGTTGATGATATAACTCTAAACATACGTGTATATGCTGTAACATTAGCTTCTGTCAGAGAAATGAAAATGTGGGGTTTTTCCCAATAGAGCTGTTGGGGGTGGTGTTTCTAGGGCTTTTTCACCCTGCCACTTCCCTCAATGCAATAATTTTTCTTTGTTTTATATATTTAGCCTGAGAGTGTAACTATTTAATAGAAGTATTTTATTCACCCAAAATGTTCAGTGCTTCATTAAACACAGATGCTGCGTTTATGAGAAAGTAAAATTAAAAATATTTAGGATCATTTGTAACTAACATTTTTTTTCCTGTTTTTTTAGTTGTTTTTTTTAATATAGGTGTATATGTAGTATAATATGTTGAATAGAAAATTGCCTGTAAGCCAGATTTCCAAATCTTAGCTGAATAATTGCAATGATTTAGTCATCTGTCCTGATGGTATTTTACCTGCTTACCTAACCTGATAGTACTAAAAATAGCAATTAAGTTTGGTATTTAAATGCTGATTTGGATGACTCAAAAAGCTCCGATTTTTAAATTTTTGTTTTATGGAAGGTGTATTTATATTCTACTATGTATGTATTGCACATATTGTAGTTACTTTGACTGATTCCCTCTGTGGTTTTCTTTAATATTTTCCACTTATTTCTACCATGTAGATGACTGTGGAGATCATGTTGTCATAATAAATACAAGACATATTGCCTTCTCTGGTAACAAATGGGAACAGAAAGTATATTCTTCACATACTGGGTAAGCTTTGTAGTAAATAAAGCCTGTGGTAGTGAGCTCGTGGTAAATTTCATATCATATTTTCTTAATAGTTGAAGTATTTTTTAGCATATTGCTTTAAAAGGGAATTTCTGCTTTAACTTTTAGGGGGGCGTTTTGTTTGTTTGCATGTGTACAATGTTTAAAATTATGTAAACCTTTTTTCCTCTTTTATTTTTATTTTCTTTATTTTTGTTGGTTTTTTGTTTTTTTCTTATACCCAGAATATATTGCTAGGGAAATAATCTAACTCAAAAGTAGTCAGAACAACTGAATAAATTAACAGATTTGGTGAGTGAGGTTGTGCCTGGACCCAATGATCTGGACTATTCTGTTTACTGTGCAATAGAAGATATTTCTGTTGGCACCACACATTTAAGATACACACACACACATATATATATATGTAGTCACCAACTTTAGTTACTTTATCCTACCAGGACCTCCTTACCTAACAGCAAATATTGGATCAGAGAATGAAATGAAAGTAGGAAAAACAATTAAAAAATGGAACACTCTCAAGCTATATTGATGTACAGTACATTGTTATATATAGTAGTGTAAAATACATTATTCTGACAGACATAACTTGTTTCGAGAGTGCAATAGTCAGCTACAGACAGGGTGTTGATCGGTTCGGTGCTCCTGTTTTATACAATGATACTAATACATAATTATCTTTGAGTGTCACAGTGTATCCAATTGAGAGATGAAAAAGTCACACTGAGAAAGCTAATGTTGCTAGTGTTAATGGTGCAGTCCTGAAATTGCTGAATTGCTGAGAAATTCTTCTTCAGAGGTGAAATTATTGTGTGGGTTTTTTTCTCCATCTCCCCCATGACCTAGAATTTTCTCTAAAAACTTAACATGTAAGTTAAAGCACTTACTTAAATACATAAGTTGGTTTTGAATAAATAAAAGTAATTGTTCACTTAAAACAAATACTTAAGTCCATGTAGCTCAGTGGACATGTCTTCATGATGCTGGGCCTATTTTCATTTCACTTAGGCTGATTCCTAATAATTTAATTCAATGAAAATTAAACCCCATTAATGAAATTAAAATTTACCTTTTTTCGTGTAATTTCTTAGTCCACGCTATCATTCATTTAAAGCTTATGCGTAGATCTGCATTAGTGCAGCTTCAACATGTCACATAGGCTTTAGAAAGATGGATCCATTGCAGTAAAATTAAAATTTTATTACTGTAGATATGCCAAGTCTTGGTAAGGTTTATTTAGAATAGCAAGAAAATAAATGATTCAAAGAAATCAAAGTTTTCAAAGGTTTATCAAAGAAAATAAACAGTTCAAAATGGATGTCTCCTATGTCAGCCACAGACTGGTTGTGAGTCTTGATCATCTGAAAATATTTCAGAGTTCTACATATCTTATTCCTGTTGTGTTCTATAGCTGTTATGGTAT